CCCCTCTATGCAACTTTGGTCAGGCTGCAGTTGGAGTACTGCGTCCAGTACTGGGCGCCGCACTTCAAAAGGGATGTGGCCAGCCTGGAGAAGGTTCAAAGGAGGGCCACCCACTTGGTGAGAGGGCAACAGGACAGGCCCTATGAGGAGAGACTGGGGGACCTGAACCTGTTCAGCCTCAGCAAGAGGAGGCTGAGGGGGGACCTGGTGGCTGCCTACAAACTCATCAGGGGAGATTGGTGGCTGCCTACAACCTCATCAGGGGAGATCAACAGCAAATAGGCAGAGCCCTTTTCTCCCCAGCACCACCTGGGGTGACAAGGAACAATGGTAATCAGCTGATGGAGAATAGGCTTAGGTTAGAGATCAGAAGGCAATTTTTTACAGTTAGGGTGGCCAAAATCTGGAACCAACTTCCCAGGGAAGTGGTCCTCACCCCTACCTTGGGCAAATTCAAGAGGAGGTTGGATGATCACCTGTCTGGGGTCTTGTGAACCCAGCATTCATTCCTGCCTGTGGCAGGGGGTCGGGATAGATGATCTGTTCAGGTCCCTCCTGACCCTAGCTATTATGAAACTATGAAAGTTCCCCACAGCTTAAGAGCCCTGCCCAGGGCCTCCTTCACTTCCCTGTGTCTCAGGCTGTAGATGAGGGGGTTGATCATTGGGGTGAGGACAGTGTAGAAGACAGACAGCACTTTGTTCAGGGCTCTCCAAGTATCCACTGTTGAGGTGAGATACACAGCAATTATGGTCCCAAAGAAGACTGTTACTACCGTGAGGTGGGAGGAGCAGGTGGAAAATGCCTTTTGCCTCCCAGTAGTAGATGGAATTCTCAGGATGGTGGCAATGATACAAGCGTAGGATGCCACGGTCAGTAGAAATGGTGGCAATGATCCTAAGGAAGAAAAGGCAAAAATTGCCACTCGGATCCAGTGGGTGTCCATACAGGAGAGTTGTAGCAGGGGTGTCAGATCACAGAAGAAATGGTCAATTTCATTGGGGCCACAGAAAGTCAACGTTGACATTAAGCTTACTATTATGGTGAATACCAGGTATCCGGTTATCCAGGAACCTGAAGCTAATTTAGCACAGACCCTCAAGTTCATTACAGCTGCATAATGCAGGGGGTTGCATACTGCTAAGTACCGGTCATAAGACATGACTGACAAGAGGATACATTCAGTACAGGCCAGACACACAAAGGTGTAAAACTGAAGCAAGCAGCCAAGGAAGGAAATGGTTTTGTTATTGGTAAGGAGACCTGAAAGCATCTTGGGCAGGATGGCAGAGCTGTAGCAGGTCTCTAGGAAGGACAAATTCCCGAGGAAGAAGTACATAGGGGTGTGCAGGTGGTGATCAGCCACAACCAGCACGATGATGAGGAGGGCACCAGCCATGGTCACAATGTAGATCAGGAGAAACAGCAGGAAGAGCGGAATGTGCAGTATAGGTAGATTCCCAAATCCAAGGAGGATGAATTCTGCAATAATGGTTTGATTTCCCCTATTGGTGTTTGCCATGTAGTGAACCTACAAGAAGTTATCACCAGACAAATATTGAGAAGTGGGGTGGTATTCAGGTCTGTGCACTATAGTAGCATTCAGCTGCAGTATCACTAAATCTCTATAGCACGTGAGGACACTAAACTTCCTCTATTTTCAATTTTTTCTGCCTTTATGAGAATGAAAAGTCAAAGTTTCAAAATTTCACGTGAAATGAAGTCTTTTTAAGGCCAGGGACAGACATTACACTTCTACTGGTGTAAGTTATTAGAAATTGGTTTGTATTCGTAACAGAAGTTTGGCACACATATCTGGTCTGTATCCATAACAGAATAGAAATATGGTAGGTAGATGGGTTTAAAAATGGTGGAACCATGTCTAACATTTGCACCCCCACCAAAGGGCAAAAGGCTGTTCTGTTCACTACCAATCTAAACTATGTGGCTTAAAAAAAGCTGTGTAACTAAGATCAATTACACCTTGGATTTTTGAATGTCTGTATCTAGTCATATTGTGTTTCTGTGCTGTCCTAAAGATTTGGTTCCAAGAAGTCATCTAAATGACGGGTCTTCTTATTCCTATATCATATAAATAGTAAATATAACGTTTTGTCGAAACAATATATAGAGTATCCCATTAATATATTGTAAACATCCAAATGAAATGAGGAATAACAATGTTACCAAAGCCAAATATTTCCATGTGATTGAGAGGTTTCAGCACCATCAGTTCAAGTAATGTTCTACCTTTTCCCCATTAAAAAAAAAAAAGGAATAGACACAGACCTGTGAAATGCTTTGATTTCTGTAAAATATCAATAACTGATAGAAAACTGCCTTCTCTTGCAGCACAGGGCACAGTATTTTTCTTAGGACCTGCTGAGCATACATTAGATACTACTTGTCTACCGCCCCTCTTCTCCTTTTGCCCCTGGAATGCTATAGCTTTTTTTTTTTTTTTTTTTTTACCTGTTTTGGGCATTTTACCTGGCACCTGAAGGTAAAGATTTTGGGGGATTACTTGCATAGTAGGATTTTGCCTCCATTGTCCAGGAGCTAGTTCTTGTCCCATGCTCTATGTCCCCTCACCCCCTGCAAGGCAGTCCCACCAGTTCTCTTAAACAGTGGGGCTGGGTTTTCTAATGGAGCCCTGGTTAAATTGGGAGTACTCTCATTGGAGTCAACAGGTCTGAAGCACCTCTCACTTAGCTCTGTAAAAATCTTTATTTGCTACTTTAGACTTAAGGAGGCTTTTTCTTCTTTGGATAATCTGGGCAGGAACCAGGAAACTAAACTTCGCTGGAATTAATGGAGTTACATGGGGTTCAAACCAGTGCATGTAGCAGCAGAACAAGGACTGGAGAGAAGTGCATTGTTGCTAAGGATTCAGTGACTGGATGAGCTCAGCTCAAAAACTTGTGAACGAACACTGCTTCTTCTAATTATGTATTTGGAAACTATTTTGACAAGCAGTTTAGTTACCTGTATCTTAGCATCCAGGTAGTTCTAGAACTACTTCCTATTTTATTAATGCCTTTTTTGTTTCTGAGTTTTGCCAGTTACAACTGAACCCAGCAGAAACTTATGGGATTCAACAGCTTGTAGAGCTGAGACATTAGAGCTGAACATGATATTAAGAGGAAGTTATTCCAGGGAATATCTGGAAAGATACCTGGTGCAATCCTTTTGAAGGTACAGAATGTTTGAAAACAGTGGGTCAGACCAAGAAGGCTTCTCTTTTGTGGAGGATGCAGCTCCACTGAGTAGTCATTAGTTATTCTGGATATTTACTCTGTCAAGCTGATAACACTTTAAAACATTTTGACAATTTGCATAATTTTTGGAAATTCATTTTCTAGAAGAGACCATATGATTACCTTGTCTGATGAACTCTTCTCCTGAGTGTTTTACTTTGTGTCTTGTTAGTTTTGATAGATGCTTGACTAAAACATTCAGAAGCAACAGAGAAAAGAAATCTTTCATATATTTCTGAATGTTAAAGAACTTGGTAACCTGAGTTCCTTGAAAACAAACAAACAAACAAACTTCATTTTCATGTTTTTTGGAAAATATATGTTTTTACAGCTAAACAACAATATTCAATTTTTAGCTCTGTTTTGTCCTGTCCTTCTTTCTCAAATTCTGTCAACCCTTCCCGCAGTGGCAAAATGTTAAAGGGGGAAAAGTGAACCCTCAAAATGTAGATCAATTTTTTTCCCCAAAATGTTGAAGAAAATAGCTCTATTTGAGATATGTTAAATGAAAGTAATACTTTTTTCCCACTAATTAATTTGTTTATTTAGGCAGCATTTATAGTAACAGGAACTACCAGACTAATTGAAATCTGTATAGGTAGGAAGAGAAGGAAGCTGGAGAGGGAGACAGACTTCCTTTCTTTCTGAACAGAACTTTTTTACTTCCTTTCTGCTAATTAAATGTATCCAGGAAGACAGTAGTGGACATAGACAACCCCCCCAAAAATTTGTATTAACATAGGAAGGTTAAAAAAAACAAGACTTAGGAATGCATTTACATACAGCTCCTATACCATGAAAAATTACCTGGAAGGAACTGCTGGTTTTACCTGGAATTTCCTTGTGTCATTCTCTAGAAACTAATTTTGTATCTTCTCTCAGGCTTTCTGTGAATAAGGCACTGGGGGCTGGGTTTGTAAGGTGTCCATCCAGCCTTCATATGGCAGCTGCATGTGAAGATTTTGGGGGATTCCTTGTAAAGCGGGATTCTGCCTCGATTGTCCAGGAGCCCCTTCCTGTCCTGTGTTTTACATCAGCTCACCCTCAGCAAGGCAATCCGACCAGTTCTCTGAAACAGCGTGGATGGGATTTTCTAACGCAGCCCTGGTTAAATTGGAAGTACTCTCACTGGAGTCAACAGGTCTGAATCACCTCTCATTTATCTGTATGAAAAGCATTATTTGCTGCTGTAGAGTTAAGAAGGCTGGTTCTGCCATGGATCACCTGGGTGGGAATCAGGGAGGAAAACTGCACTGGAATCAATGGAGTTACATGTGGTTCAAACCAGTGCACGAAGCAGCAGAACAAAGACTGGAGAGAAGCATATTGTTGCTATAGATTCATTGACCTGATGAGTTTAGCTCATAAACCTGTGAACAACACTGCTTCTTCTACCTATGTTCTTTGAAACTGTTTTGACAAGCAGTTTATCTTAGCATCCAGATAGTTCCAGAACTACTTCTGATTTTATTACAGTAAAACCCCAGTTATCCGGCTTTTTAGTAACTGGTACTCTACTAACCAGAATTTCTGGCTGCCTGGCTGGATGCAACAGGAGGGCTGGGGAGTGGTAGGGGGCTCGCCTGTTCATAGCCACCGGCGCCACTCACCACCCTGCGATGTCGCCGCTCCACATGCGGCCGGAAACTCCTGTGCCTCAGGTAACCTCAGCATTTTTAGATTATCAGCACCCCAAATTCCCCACTTGTGACGGTTTTCATGGCTTTTACTGTATTGTCTTTCTTTGTTTATTTCTGAGTTTTGCCAGTCACAACTGAACCCAATAGAAACTGATGGGATTCAACAGCTTATAGGGCTGAGACATTTAGAGCTGATCATTATAGCAAGGTAAAAATTTTTTCAGGGAATACCTGCAAAGGTCCATATTGCCATTTTTGAAGGTACAGAATGTTTGAAAACAATGGGTCAGGCTAAGAAGGATCCTCTTTTGTAGAGGATGCAGCTCCAGTAGTGGTAGCTAGTCATTCTAGAAATTTACTCTATCAAGCTGATAAAACTTTACATTTTAAATTTTCTGACAATGCCGGTTATTTTTGGAAATTCAGTTTCTAGAAGAGACCATGAGATTGCCTTGTCTAACTCAGCTGCTAAATGTTTTACTCGGGTCTTAGTTTTGATAGATGTTTGACTAAGACTTTCAAAAGCAACAGAGAAGAGAAATCTTTCATATACTTCTTAATGTTAAATAGCTTGGTAAACTGAGTTTCTTGGAAAAAAAATAACCAAGTTTTCATTTTCTTTGGGGGGGTGTGAAATATCTGTTTTTTACAGCTAAACAACAATTTCCTATATTTAATTCTGTTTTGTCCTCTCATTCTTTCTCAGATTCTGTCAACCCTTCCTGCAGTAGCAACATGGTAAAGGGGGAACCCCCCCCCCCAAAATGTTGATAAAAAATTGTTCCCAAATGTTTAATAAAAATTTTTGAAATTTGCTAAACTGAAATAACATTTTAGTTCTTGTTTTTCCATTTATAAATTAATCTTTTTAGGGAGCTATGATAGAAACATACAGATTACCAGACTAATTTAAAGCAGTTCTCAGTCTAGACAGAAAGAGAGAGAGAGACTTGTTTTGTTTTGTGCTTTTCTGAACAGAATTTTAGGTCTCCTTTCCACTAATTAAATATATCAAGGAAAACAGCAGTGGACATAAGACAACCAAAAAACCCAAGAACCCTGTGCTGACACAAGAAAGTACAAGAAAACGATATCCAAAAGTGCATTTACATAGAGCTCCTATACCATGAAAAATTAGCTGGAATGGAAATGTAGGTTTTACCTTGAGCTTCACTGTGCCATTCCCTGGAAACTGATTGTGTATTTGCTCTCAGGATTCCTGTGAACAAGGCACCGGGGGCTGGGTTTGCAAGGTGTCCATCCAGGCTTTCCTTTGTTTCTGCAGGTCTTTAAAGGCGAGACCAGGGGAACTGTCAAATGTTTGTAATGCACACTTTGGAAACACTGTGCTTAATTGGAATCCAATTCTACTCTCCAGGGAAATCCTTCATTTCACATGAGACGTGGGCTACAGGTACTGAAACGTTTCAGGTCATTAATTCAACTCTACAGTTGATCATCCAATGCTCCAAATGAATGGGTAGAACAAGAAATGTGAGGACACAGGGCTGGAGGGGACCCCCTTGGGCACTAACTCCAGGCCCCTGACCCTGAAGGCAAATGCCTCATATAAACTTGGTTAGAGTTGCGGGAGTTTAAATTGGTGGCCCATTTCTTCACAGATAAATGCGGTTTCAGTTGTCATGAAAGTTTTCACAGGTTTTGGTTAAGTTACCTGAATGTAGGAGGCTGAGGGAAAGTAATAAATTCAGGGCTAGATTAATGATGCTGAGGCCAGAGGTGGGGTCACCCTTTAATCCAAGATGCCAGGGATTAGAGCACTAACCCAGGAAGGAGGTAGGAATCAGGATTAGCTCTTTCGTTTGAAAGGACTTGCAGCCTCACAGGACCAAGACTGAACATATAGTGGCTACTATGGGAGGGGTGGGCAAGATTTTTGGGTAGTTCCAAAAACACCCACAATCTCAATTTGTAATTTGTTCGCGTCCTGGTGTGGATGACGGGGAGCCACGTGGGGCTCAATCCTTATTGTAGCAGCGCAGCCACAGCTCTTTCACTGTAGTGCATGCTCCAAGCAAAATGCCTTCATATGACATGCTCTGGCATTCGTGCTGGGGGTTGCCTGCCCCTGTGCTATGAGATATTCTGGGATGGAAGTGTTCAAACTCCATTGTTGGTGCTGCTGCTTTTGGCATAAATAATTAAAGAATCTCACTCCACCAGTGTCCCATTCTAAATTCATGTTGGTTTGTGCCTATTAAGCCAGTTAGCTAACCACTTTGTTGTATGTTTATGAAATCCACATTTCTGCAATATTCTTTGGAGAAGGTCATGGGGGACTTTATCAAAAGCCTTACCAAATCTAAGTGCACTGTGTCCACTGTATTCCCTTCATCTACCGAGCTGGATATTTTGTCAAAGGAAGAGATCAGTTTGGTTTTGTCATGCTGGCTGACTGAAATCAGCTTTTTCTCCTCCAGATGCTTGCCAATTAACATCCTTATAATATACTCCCCATGACACTTATGACACACATACCCCTCGTCTTTACATTCTCAGCCCACAGACTTGTGATAAAAACATCTGACTGAGAAATAGGAGAGGCAAGTTCATACCCCTATGGGATAAGAGATGCCTAGAAACAGTGCTCCTGTTCTCCAGGAAGTGCCCTAACCACTACGGCTGAGCAGTGGTTTGCAATCTTTTCAGGCTCAAGGCACCCCTCAATAACTTTTCTGAATATAGGGAGGCTAGTGGTGGCAGAGCTCACCCTCTGGGCTCTGGAGTCCCACCAACATGGCCCATTTTCAAAATCCTAGATCTGCTCCTAGGGTGGCTAGAACTGCATGTGGTATTCAAGATATAGCTGTTCTCTGGATCCTTATAATGGTACAGTGATGTTTTGTGTTTTGTATTGTGGTAGCGGTAGTAGTTCATTTATAACTTTCATGAAAACAATACAAAATTGGCAATAACATTACATCAAATATAATAAAAATATATAACTTTTGGTACCTATAATAGCATAAAGAGTATATATTCTACTAGTTTAAACAAAATTAAAACCAAATAGTATGTGACAAAATGAAAAATAAATGAAACGATATTTACAGCAGAATAAAACAAAATAAAAGCAGGGGAACTCTATCTGATTTTGGCCGTTATTGCTTCTATAAATAATGTGAATAAACTTAGGGAGTATAGGGCAGGCTGTAAATTGTTGGAGAGCAGTCAAATTGCTTTTCCTTCATTAATGTGGTATTAAAAAAAAGTCTTCTAATGGGAGAAATTAATTTTCCTTTTAGTCTTTCAAAAAATGAACAGGGCCTCAAACAGTGATTTAAGTCCTTTATCTCATTCTTCCCACAAGAACCTATCCTGCCTCTATGTGGGATCTGACACCATCTGCAGATCTCATTAGAGTAAATTACAGTCTAGTAATGGCTTCTTATTGTTTGTAGTTTTACACCTCAGGCAAATTCATAGGCCAAAAGAGTGCTTTATTACTCTCAAAAAAGAGGAAGTTTTGAGAAAAATCACACTGCCTATGTAATTTGTCTGTGTGCTGGCATGTTTAATTTTTACATTGGTATCTTGTCTGAAATATAGGGGTAGTACTGGGTCAGCGACTGTCAGCACATTTGACAGGGCGTTTGTCTGGAGGCAGGGGTGGACCCAAGGGGCATGGGGGATGCAGTGGTGCACTTGCACCCACTTTGATTCTTGGTCCATCCAAAGTTTAAAACCAACTGCCTGGCAGTGGCAGCCGGCTTTCTGTTCAAGCAGCAGTGAGGGAACCACTTGACTCCATGGCTCAGGAGGAAAGGCAGCAAGAGGGCACAGCAGCCCCCCTGGCTCTCCAGGGACCTAGCAGACCTCCTGAGGCTAAAAAGAAAGGCCTACAAAGGATGGGAGTCACCTCCAAGGAGGATTATTCTGCACTGGTCCGGTCCTGCAGAGAGCATACCAGGAAAGCCAAGGCTGTAACTGAACTCCAACTAGCTTTGAGCATCAAGGACAATAAAAAGTCCTTTTTCAGATATGTGGGGAGCCAGAGGAAAAGCAGGGGCAACATTGGACCCCTGCAGAACCAGATGGGGCAACTGACAACTGACGCCCAGGAAAAAGCCAACCTATTAAATGGGTACTTTGCGTTGGTCTTTCATCAGTCCCATGGGAGGCCCATGCCCGCTACGGGACAGGGAAATCCGGGTGAAGGTGATCCCCTGCCCTCCATTAATGCTGACCTCACGAAGGAACATCTTGAGAAGCTGGATACTTTCAAGTCAGCCGGCCCTGACAATCTTCACCCCAGGGTACTCAAGGAGCTGGCGAGCATCATAGCCCAGCCTCTAGCACGGATCTTTGAAACTCTTGGCGCTCTGGTGTAGTGCCCGAAGACTGGAAGAAGGCCAATGTGGTGCCTATCTTCAAGAAAGGGAGGAAAGTGGATCCGGCTAACTATAGGCCCATCAGCCTGACTTCTATCCCAGGGAAGACCTTAGAAAAGTTTATTAAATAGACCATCCTTAATGGACTGGCCGACGTCAACATCTTAAGGGATAGCCAGCACGGGTTTGTTGCGGGTAGGTCTTGCTTGACCAATCTCATTTCCTTCTACAACCAGGTGACCTATCACCTGGACAAGGGAGAAGAGATTGATGTCATATATCTTGACTTCAAAAAAGCCTTCGATCTGGTGTCCCATGATCGCCTCTTGGAGAAACTGGCCAATTGTCGCCTTGGGCCCTCCACGATCC